AACTAGCCACAGTACACACAAGGTTTCTGAATCTCCACGGTTTCAGGCATCGACTGAGCGGATTGGGATTATTTGGAGGTTCTTCCTTTACAGGGTCACACGTATCTCAGTCTGGTCTTAAACTTCTGATCCTCCCTATCTGCACCCCCAGAGAGCTAGGGTGACAGACATGCATCACCAGATTCGGTGTGAACCCGGGTGTCGTGCTGGCTAGGCAAACACCCTGCCGACTGAGCTGTGTCCCTCGCACCCATCTGAGGTCGTAGGATGTAGGCTGTTTCACACAGAGCAAACTTGTCACTTATCCCCTTGCCTGCCTTTCGCACACACCCTTTAAAACTAGGAGCTGATCAGGACTGCTTCTTGAACAAGCAACGACCCTGATCTTTTTTTTTCTTTTAACTATTCCATTTTCATTAACCTGAAATTATTAATTGTATGGAAATGTACTTCTCCAGACATTTTGCTCCTGTAGAACGTTCTTTCCTAGGTTCTCCTGTACATGCTCTCTTAATCCTGGCCCGGCCAGCTGCATGAGGGCAGAGCTGCCTTCTCTGGTTCTTTCCATTTCAAGAGTGCAGCGGTAGCAGTTTGTCACTTCTGCTTCACCAACACATTTGTCTTGTCTGGTTAGAATTAAGCATAGAATAGCACCTCTTCAATAAGGAATTAGTTTAAACCCAAGTTGTGCCAACTTTATTTAATGCCTGCTTTTCAGCAGAATGATATTGTCAGTTGATTCTAAATAAATTGAAGTTTGCTATTACCCCGATGTTGTGCCCCTGTGCCACTAATTGGGTCATCTGTACTGGGAAAATGTTATTGATGTTACTACCAAACGCTCACAAGTCCTGCTAGAAATTGTTGATAATACACAGCCAGTGGAGAAAGGACAGGAACCAACCCTGGCATGGGGGTACTCCCTCCATATGGCATGGGTTGCAAATACAGAGGCCTGGGATAGGAAAGCCAGGCTGGGAAAGTCCTGTTGTCCCTCAGCAAGGTAAAACTCAGGAAGCTGTTACTAAGAAGCAGATCAGCCTTATTCTAGTGGGTTGCCTGAGAGGGCGTGACACCTGGGATGGGTCCCAGGGGAGAACACAGTAGGGTCGAGCAGTAGGATACAGATGCCTACGGACAAAGCATCTGAGCCACGGTGGAACAGGCTAGAGCTCAGGGAAGCACAGCATCAGGGGAACACTGGCATTCAACACCCAGTGACCAGAGGACGAAGGGGCAGAGCTTAGGGTAGAAGTCCAGAATTAGTGGGGGCATAACAGGAGGAACGTTTAGGTGTCTGGGCTTCAGATGCCCTGGCTAAAAGGAAGCAGCACGGGTTTTTTACCCAGTTACAATTGACATTTAAGTGCCTGGAGTGTGGACGCTGGGGAGCTAGGCCTGTAGGTAGGTGGAGCCTCGGAGGCAACCCAGCAGCTGTTGCTAGGGACAACAGCTGGCCAGCCGCCTTACTGTATGCTCCTGTGACACGATCACTTCTGCTTTTATGCTCACCCAAACGCTCCTTCTCAGGTTTGTGGGTTTCTAGATGTGTCTGTGACTCTGTGGCTTCCAGGTTAGTCTGCCCTGCCTGTTTGTGCTTCTTGTGAAAAAGCTGTACTCGCTACTCCTCTGCAACAGCCGCAATTTATCAGTTGCTCACTGCGTCCAAGGGAGTAGCAGATTTATGCAGACTAACTTACTTGATCCCCAACCTCCTTCGTAGGTAGTTCTTGTTATATCCCCAGTCTGAAATGAGGAAACTGAAATTCGTATGGTTTATATAATCAGCCCAAGGCCGTACAGCTGGGATGCAAAAGAGCTCACACCTCAACCGTTCCCCTCCCCTGGCAGCCTTCAGTTGCTCCTAAAGACACACTTTATGCATTTATACAGCCACAAACCCAGGCAATTCTCACTGAATTTTTTTTTTCGGCCACTAGATTTTCTAAGTAGCTACTTCTCTACCTACCAATGTTCTGTCCTCTTTTGTCTCTATCACACCCAGCATAGTATCATGTAAAGCAGACTACCAACATCTGATGAATTATGATGATCAAAAAATATGATTAGCGAGCCAGGTGTGGTGCTGCATGCCCTTAATCTCAATGCTTGAGAGACAGGGACAAACAGATCTCTATGAGTGCTAGGCTAGCCTGGTCCACATAATGAATTTCAGGCAGCCAGAGTGACACAGTGAGACTCTATCTCAAAAAACAAACAAACAAAAAAAACCCCAATGACCATACAGTATGATTAGTGGGAGCTGGGGACATAGTTTAGTTGGTAGAATGTTTGGCATACAAGTATGAGGATCTGAGTGTGATTCCTAACACCCATATACAGATCTGTGTGTAGTGATGCAAGTTTGTTACCCCATCACTGGGAAGGGGAGAAAGATGGATCTGCAGAACAGGCTGGTGAGCACAAGGTACCATTGAGAGACCTGGTCTCGAAATAAACCACAACCTGCTGGGAGGTGGTGGTTCACACCTTTAATCCCAGCACTCAGCACTCAGGCAGAGGCAGGCAGATCTCTGTGAGTTCGAGGCCAGCCTGGTCTACAGAGGAAGTTTCAGGACAGGCTCCAAAGCTACAGGGAAACCCTGTCTTAAAAAGAATCAAAGAAAAAAACCAAGCTGAAAATGCAACAACAAAACCAAAAATACTCACGTTAGATGGCCCCTGAGGAACAACAACACCTGAGGTTGACCTCTGGCCTCTATAAGCATGTGCAATCATATGAACATACCTATAGATGCATTCGGGAACAGTCTCACACATCTGCATACACTCACAAACACACTGTGGTGGTTTGGATGAGAATGGCTCATATATTTGAATACTGGGTTCCCAGTTGGTAGAACTGTTTTGGAAGAATCAAAACTTGTGGTCTTGTTGGAGGATGTGTGTCACTGGGGGCAGACCTTAAGGTTTCAAAAGACTTGAGCCATTCCCAGTGGTGTTCCTCTGCCTGCTGCAAGATGTAACATCTCAGCTACTGTTCTAGTGCCATGCCTGCCTGCCTGATGCCATGCTCTCAGACATGATGGTTTTGGATTGTCTGAAATTGTAAGCCCCAATAAACTATTTCTTCTATAAGTTGTCTTGGTCATGGTGTCTCATCATAGCAATAGAAATGTAACTAAGCCACACACACACACACACACACACACACACACACACACACGACTGATTAGAGCTGTTGTTTTTAATCTTGGCTTTATGTATTTATAAAGTTAATTAGGAATAATTCTTTATCACATAAAATACAATCAAGAGTCATTTAATGATGGAGACGCAATCCAAGAAATGTCCTTGAGTGGTTTGCTTATTTGTTAAACAGAAAGCAATCACAAACACCTATATTGTATAAACTACTGTTTATTGGGCTACATGATATATATGTGTGTGTGTTAGGTATGTATATATATAAAGGCATAACATACACACATATACACATGTATATTATATTATGCCTTATATATACACATATATAACACACATATATTGTGGGATATTATTTTGAGATTTGTTACATTCATTTATGCTGTGGAACATTTGTTTAATGGTGCAAAGATATGTTGCATTCTTTCATGTTGTATTTGTTTAACTCTGTAAAGCTGTGCTACCCTGCCTATCAAAAACATCTGATTGGCCTAATAAAGAGATGAACGGCCAATAGCAAGGCAAGAGAAAGGATAGGCGGGGCTGAGAAATCTGAAAAAGGAGAGCAAGCCACCAGATCTAGGAGAGAGAGAAAGAGGGCTCCAGGGTCCAGTGATGCAGCTACATAACCGGACATAGAATAGGAAGGAAAGAAAAGATACATAGAAACAGAGAAAGGTAAAAGCCCAGAGGCAAAAGGTAGACAGGATAAGTTAAGAAAGGCTAGCTAGAAATTAGCCAAGCTAAGGCTGGTCATTTATAAGAAAGAATAAGCCTCCATGTGTATTTATTTGGGACCTGTGTGGTGCCCCCGCCCTGAGTTAAAAAAAACACTACAATTATAAAAATTTTTATTGCTCACAGGGCCATGATAAATGAAAAGTTATATTAAATCAAGGATAAAAAAAGATATAAGATCCTCTGGAATAAATGACATAGTATCTTACAGTAATCATATTTATTGGTAGGAGTATGCTCTTAAATAAAATAGTAACCAGAAGTATAGCTTAGTAAGCACATAAGCCCCTACCACGGTCCTTTATAGTAACCATCAAGTGTTATGCACTGCGCAGCTGTACTGCTACACTTTTATGTGACCAGACGTGTAGGACTTACTGGCACCAGCACACCCTACCCATGTCGATCATGCCTCCTGCTCCAGCATTCTGAAAGCTGTGCTATCACTAAGCAACAAGAAGTTTTCAACCCCATCATAGTATCGTGGGACCATGATCGCATATGGGTCCACTGCTGGCTCAAATGCCCCAACAGTCACTGACGTGCACACTACGCGGAAGACGGGAGCATGCAAAGACTACCTCTCCTGGGGGACATTTCTGTTCCCGAGAAACTCAGATGTAGATCAACAGCTCAACGCGCATGTCCATGCAAACTTGAGAAGTGAAAAATCAAGGTTAAGAGATATAGAAATGAAGCAAACTGTTGTTTTTGGAAGCCCAAATCTGGACAGCTTTTTCATAACAAGATGTTCACACTTATCTAAACCAGAGGTTGCAAAACTACTCCCCATGCCGCCCATATGCAGCCCACACCCTGTTTCTGTGTGGCCCATAAACGGAGAATTGTTTTCATATTTTAAAAAAATGGTTGGAAAAATATTAAAAGAGGACTGGAACCTCATGACATGGGAGAACTGTATGAAATCCAAATTTTGTCACCCATAAATAGCTTCACTGAAACATCGCCATGCTTATTCAACAGCCCCTCCCTCCCTCCCTCCCTCCCTGCCTCGCTTCCTCTCTTCAGTCTTTCCTTCTTCGGCCCTCCTGCCATATGACCTAGGTCGGTCCTGATCTTCAGACGTTCTGCCTTACCTCCGGAATGTCGAGTGCCGGGACTGCAGGCGTGCACGCCGAACTCGGCTTCAGTCATGTGTTTGTGACGGCTGCTTTCTCACTGCAATGACAGCATTAAGTATTTGGAATGGAGAAAGAGAAGCCTAAAATATTTTCTATCTCATCCTTTGTAGAGAAAGCTTGCTAATCACCCATCACAATAACGTTAGGATGTCACAAGCCTTTTAACATCGAAGTTACTTCTATTATTTTAGTTTCTAAAGTTTTGTCTTTTTTAAAGATTTATTTCATTTTTATTAATGTGTACAGGTGCTCTTATAGGCTAGAAAAGGGTGCCAGATACCCTGGTGATGAAGTTATAGGTGGCTGTAAAGTGCCAGTGTAGGCAGTGATTCAAAATCAGGTTTTTAGGCTTAGCGTTGAGAAGAAAGAGGAACCCCCTCAATCAATCTCTCTCTCTCTCTCTCTCTCTCTCTCTCTCTCTCTCTCTCTCTCTCTCTCTCTCTCTCTCCCTCTCCTCCCCTCAGACAGCTTCTCACATAGCCTCAGCTGACCGAGAGCTCCCTGAACAGCTGACTGTACTGTCTCCGTATCTCAAGAGCTGGTATTACAGTAGGCGCTCTGCTCCAGTTTGTTCTGGTTTTGTGTGATGCTAAGGTTTGAACCCAGTGCTTCGTGCAAGCTAAACAAATACTCTTCCAAGTGAATACACCATCGTGCCAAGAACACTCTTCCGTCAACAAGTCCCACATTTTCAGAGTGAAGCCGCCCCTCTTCTCTGTTGATTTCTCTACAGTCTTTTCTGGTAGCAGGCACATGAAATGGTGGCAGACTGAGATGCCTGTGGTATGTCTAGGAGGATGACAGTCTTCCTGCCTAGGGTCCTCTTTCTCTTTGATAGGAAACTGATGCTGCGCATCTAAGAGCTCCTACAGTGCTGTCTGGAACTGTAGCGACCCCATAATGGATTTGCCAAATTAGATCCACTGATTATGGATGGAATAAAACAAACTGTTCTCTCTCTCTCTCTCTCTCTCTCTCTCTCTCTCTCTCTCTCTCTCTCTCTCTCTCTCTCTCTCTCTCTCTTTTGGTTTTTCGAGACAGGGTTTCTCTGTGGCTTTGGAGCCTGTCCTGGCACTAGCTCTGTAGACCAGGCTGGCCTTGAACTCACAGAGATCCACCTGCCTCTGCCTCCCGAGTGCTGGGATTAAAGGCGTGCGCCACCATGGCCCGGCCAAACTGTTCTTTTTATTGTCTAGGACCTAAAGAAATACAAAAGCGACTTAGGTGTCCTGGACACAGGAGTGACTTATCAGTGTTCTGAGAGGACACTTAATATAAAGGCGTATGGTCCCACAAGTAATCAATCTGCCCGTTAGGTCGCAAGTAAAGCGAATTGCACAGGATTATCTGTTCCCTACGATTCCTTGTGGTGAACCTCAACTGAATCTTATTTGTTTATTTACTTACTGATTTATTTTGTGGTGCTGAGAGGCAAAGTCAGGGCTTTCTACCTGGTAGGTAAATTCTACTCCTGAGCTCCATCCTCTGTCTGATTTATCTTCTGAGATCCAAACATAAATTTGACAGTCTGTCTCTGTCTGGGTATCCCTGTCTTTCTCCCACTTAACAGAGGTTTACTAGCTGTTTATCATATGTAAGGTACTTGGCATACGAAAATGTAAAAAAAATCCTAACTTCTTGAAGACCTTAGGGCTCAGGAGGAAGACTACTGATCTATGCTAACCTTTCTTGACCTTTGGTGGTCCTGAGAGTTAATCCATGACACAGTCTCCTTTTGGTACCTTTGGCCTCTTAGTTCTACTTCTCTGGGTTCTGATTGTCTCCATTGTCAATTTCCTTTTTTATTCAATCTCTCTATTAAATGCATTTTTGTTTTATCTTGATTTTGCCCACCCTAGGCGATCTCTTAAATTCATAAATCCAGTTCCTGTAGCACTTCTGAGCTTCAGACTCCCATCTCCAGGTCTATAGTAGACATCTTCACTGGGGCATCTTCTAACTCCTAGTCATCTCAACCTTGTGGCTGTTGTAGGAGTCCTCATTTCAGCCCATGATGCCTCTGCCCACACATCTGATCTTGGAAGAATTCTCAAGTCCACTGTGACAATGGCAGTGTCTCCTTTTGTGTTACTCCCCATGTCCTGTCTATCACTAAATTCTGTAACATAGCTCTGGGGGCTTTGGGTATTTCATGCCACCCTCTTCGCTTGGCAGCCATCTTTCCTCACCCATCTCTGAGATGCCCTTCAGAATAGTCTCTCCGCATATGTTCTTGGCCTGTTTACCTTCATCTTCCCCTTGATAATGTGTTCCAGACTGGAAAAATGTAGATCTCACTTCACAGGGGAAAAAAAGGCAGCAAAATATACGTGTTGTTCTTCATCTGATTTTTAAAAATATGTAGTAATGCATGGTGAAGCTCGGTTCCTATTGATGTGTCTGGAAGTGTCCCACAGCTGTCTACCTTTCCTTCCATCTACACACTGTTCTGTATTTACCCACTTCTCTATTTGGTGGCTTTCAGTCTTTAATGACTATAAATAATGCTTTGGTGAAGGTCCTGGAAGAGTCATCCTTCAGTCCATGTGTGAATCTGTCTATTGGGTAGAGACCTAAAAGTAGGCTTGCGAGGTCAAAAGGCTTTGCATGTTTGAAAAGTGATCAACACTGCCAGGATGCCCTCTACAGAGGTCACAGCAACTTCCTCATCCACTTACTAAGAACAGGTCTGCTTCCCCTATCTGCCTAGACAACCAGATACTTGAAAATTTATCTCATTGCCTTTGCAATGGGCATGCTTCTGTGTTGAGAAAGCAAGTAAGTATTTTAATACATTTTAACTCTCTTTTGTATTTCTTTGGTTTCAATCTCTGTGTTATATACTTTGCCCAACTTTTCAGAATTTTGGGTTGGTTGTTGATTTCATCTGAAGTAATTCTAACTTCTAGGTTCAGTCAGAAATCCTAGTGTTTTTATTACCATTCAAAAGCTGTATTGCTGTAGACTATTTTTTTAAGTCACAATCTTGTCATGCTTTTGCTAGGTTTAATCTGTATGTTCATGGGGAGGGGACCATGCTTGTTCTGTGGCATGTGTATGGAGGTCAGGGGATGACTTAGAAGAGTTGGTTCTCTCCCACTGTGTGGGTACCAGGGATCAAACTCAGGTCATAAGGTTTGGAAGCAAAGGACTTTAATCATTGAGCTGTCTCAAAGGCCTCTCAAATTTTTACTCTAATAATAAGTACCAAGAGTTATATGACAGGGGACCTCACATTTGGAGGTTATGAACTGACCCTTAGAATTCCTGACTGCCTGAAACAACTTGACAAGATCACTTTATCCTCTACCTAAACCATCTCATTTCATTTCCCTAACAGCCCAATGAAACACAGAATATTTATTAACTATGGAGTGAGGTTCAGAGAATGCCAATGACCTGGGTAACACAGCTAGGAACTCTTCTTCTTCTGAATCCCTAAAAGCCTAGTGCTCCATCATCTATCTCCATTCCGACTTTTTTCAACACACTAGATGCCAATTCCCCCCCACCCCCGCTTTTTGAGACAAGAGTCTCACTATACAGCCCAGATTGGCCTTGAACTCACAATCCTCCTGCTTCAACTTTCTGAACTGTAGTATCAGAAACAGTAACAGGTATAGTATAGTAACACATATATATAGTTTATAATATATATAGTAACTATATATAGTATAGTAACAGGTATAATAGTGTAACAAATACATATATGCTATACTACATATAGTATACATATATATAGTATATATATATATAGTATGTAACTATATGTAGTATAGTAACAGAGTAACAGGTTTGTGCCGCTATACCTGCTTCTAGAAGGTGGTTCTTCATGTCTCTAATTTCTACTAATTAGATCACTCCCTTTTTTCCTAAAACACCCAGTGGTCAGTGTTAAGCTCCAACTATGTGCAAGAATCTTCACTGAATTTACATTTTAGAAGCCCTCAACTATATGCAATAAAGGGAATGGTAGTGTGGCTTTGGTAATTAAATTATGTTACTGTGAAAAGATGCCCAGGGAGGTTAGAAAGGGGATAGGGAAGGACACTTCAGGTGGAGGAAGGGCTCTTGGAGGAGATGATGTTCTAAGAAAAACCAGAAGGATGAAAAAATATCCCTGAAAAGAAAATACTCGAGGCATGGTAGAGCTGGAACCTGAGAGAATGATTTGAGACCGAGCTGGAGAGCTGGTCTAGGATGCCACACAAGACATGGAAGGCCAGGAAAGGAGTCTAGCCTGCATCCAAGTACAAGCAGACGACATGGAAGGATTCTAAGAGGAGAAGCCACATGGTAAGCTGTGGTTTATATCTTATGACACCTGGCTTGAATCGGTGGTCTAACTGTGCTGGAGAGAACAAGAACAATCACTCATTACAGCCTGGAAGGGTGGCACACACTTGTAATCACAACACTCAAGAGTCTGAGACAGGAGGATAACAACTTTGAGGCTAGCTCAGGCTATATAGTTAGTGAGACTTTTTAATTTTTTTCCTTCCTTCTTTTTTTTTTTTTTAAAGGCCATATTATGAGAATAGAGAGAGGATGCTGATTTGGACTAAGATGGTAGCAAAGGAGGTAGGAAGATTAAGTTTGGGAAATGTTTTAGAGGCAGAGTTGAAGTCCTCGTAAATTGGACGTGCAAATTGGAGAAACAGAAGAACCAAGAAGGTCTACACATGCTTTCAGCTCAGGGAACTGGCAGACGGTGATGCTAGTCAACCGGAAGATGCCCAGGAGCACCCAGAGTTCTTCTTTTCCACCGTACACCCATAGCTTCACAGACCATGAGTTTACTCTCTTCCTAGTACCTTTGTTTGTTCTTGACATGCCCTTGAGTCCTTCCTACCCGAGAGCTTCCTCCAGCTCCTTCCTCTGTTCTCACATGCCCCTCGCTCCATCGCAGTCTAGTTCCTCTGTCTCCTTTACCAACGTACTTTTGGCCAAATAGATGACCTTTGTTGCTAAATCCAATAACTTTTCAGCCTTCATTTATCTTAAACTCTCTGGTGTTTAATGCTATTTTCTGTCCTCACAAAGCATCTAAAGCTTCTTGTGCCTTCTCCTTCCACCTCTCCAGTTAGCTCCCTAGTACCCTCCCTTCCTCACCTTTTAAAGTGGCATTTCCATGGTGCTGAAGCCAGGCCCCCTTCTCGTTTGGGGATTTCATTTGTAACCATGAACTCCCAATTATTCTAATGACTCTGACACAGAGATGCCTCTAGAGTTTTGGCTTCCTCTGGCAAGTAGTACACAGCTCACTTTGATATCCTATGGATACTTCAAACTCAGTAGGCTTAAAATGAAACTAATTCCTTCTTGCTGTGACCTGCTTTTCTTCCCAAGGCCCCTGTCTTGGTGACTGATACTGCTATCATCCTGTTTACCTAAGCCATAGTTCTCCCACTATGTCTCAACCATATTGATAAAATCAATAACCAGACTCGCTCGTTTTAATATTGAACCCTTTCTTTTTCTAGAGTCCCCTTCTTGCTGTCTTAGTTTAAGAGTTCCTGTCCCTGCCCCCCTTTTTTTCCTTAGGATGCTGAACTTCCTTCTGATTAATCTCCTGGCTTACAGCATCACTAACAAATCTCCAAACAGCAGTGATCTTTTAAAAGTGGCCATTAAGCAATTTGATAGGTCGAGGAGCGGATTCAGCAGTTAAGAGCACTTACTGCTCTTGCAGAAGACCCAGGTTCGGATCCCAGTACCCACATGGTGGCTCACAACTGCCTGTTAACTCCAGTTCCATGGATATCTGACATCCTCTCCTGACCTCCTATGGCTCCTATATGCATGTGGTATACATGCAAAGACACATTAAATAAATAAATATTGAAAAATAATCAACAGCTTGCCATTGGCCTTAGAGTGAGTCCAAACTTCTTAGAGGATCAAGCCTCTCACGCTACAGGAAGCCCGATCATCTTTCAGGACTTCTGCCACGCATTCGTGCAGTGTAAACATGTGTGGAGCATCTTCTACTTAGAGGGCACCATCCTCTTGGCTCAGCTCTTCGGGTGTGCCTTTGGTCTGGAATTGGCCTGCCTTTATTTTGCTCACCACTCCTGTAGCTCAGCACTCTCCTCTGAGCTGTCCTGTAGACAGCATCTCACTATTATGTGACCAACTGTGTCTTCCTTTGTCTCCTCTTTGTACCATAGGATCCTGCAGGCCCCGGAATGTGCTTACCTTTGTATTTCTAGGGCCACAGCAAGCACTCAATAATGGATTGAGCAGCAGAGTTGGGTTTCAAAGTCAGGACTTCTCTTTCCAGCACAAATCTCACATTTCTTCACACTATTTTTTTTTTTTAAATATCTTGAGTCTAAGGGATTCGAAATTACAACAGGGTATGTTTATATCTGTTGCTAATTAAAATACAGGCAAACAGATGTTTGGCTCCATCAGAATCCAACTGATAACTGGTTTTGGATAGCCCTTCCTCCATCATTCCACCCCTGGTTCATTGAGGCATGCGGGGTTGACCGCATCTGGAATAACTGGAAGGCCTATGCCTCGTCTCACAAATAGTTGCACTTTTTGGCCTGTTGCTTCTCTACCACGACAAGACAAAGAGAGACGAAACGCAGAAGGAAACCAGGCAATCTTCTGCATGTGGCAAGTCACATCAAAACTCCCTGCACCACCACCAAGTCACCTTTCCCATGAACTCACCCCAGTCTCTACAGCTAGGGGCTAACGGGTGGATGCAGAAAAACAAATCTAACAGCTAGAAATTGGAATTAAATGCAAGGAAGCATCAAGATCTTTTAGTAAGCTTCCATAAAACCACCACCAACATGCAAAGACCCACATCCAGTACACAGAAGTGGAGACCCGTCTTTCTTCAAAGCTGCATGTGCTCTATTTTTCACCCAACAAATTATCTCCATCAGAACCCACCTATTTGCAGTCTTATCTCTCTGCTATTGCCTTGGCGATAGTCTTGTTATAAAGAAGAAGGAACTGGAAGCAAAAAAATATAAAAAGCAAGGCTTGCCTTATCAGGGACGTAGGGGAATCAGTGAGAGAGACATTTAGTTCACAAGGTGACAGGGTTTCCTGTATGTAAAGCAGCCCTGCAATCACACTTCATACTCTTGGGGCCACAGTGCCAACCCATACTTGTTTGTCCTTCCTGGGCCTGGACTGCATTCAATTCTATGCCTTATTTAGTTGTTGAAATGATTCCTTCAGCTTCAATGTGTACTTTTTAATGCTTCATTTTGGAAATATCACACTTAAATATTTTCTCTTCTTGAGCTTTAGTTCCAAAGCTGAGGAATGAAGATTTTTTTGGGGGGGGTGGTGAGGAGTGGGGAATGGATTTTTCTTTGCTTTACATATCAAGAATGGCTTTCTCAAATCACTAGTAAAGTAGCCTGGCAGGGCCTTAAGCCTCCTACAATGACGTTTTCCATGAGAATTAGCATTTAATTGGGATAATTTGTTTTCAACAGAAAGCAGAAATTCTTTTCCAAGAGGATCAGCGTGATAATGTCTTACCAGCTAGTGCAGCGAGACCAAATATAAACCAGTTCTGAGAAACAGGAAGTGAACCTGACTGGTCTAGTCTGAGTGTCCCTGGCAGTGACGCAAATACAGAAATCAAATTAGGAAAACAAGATATGTGGGTGTGAGGCAATCGATAATAGACCAGGATGCTACAACATAAGCAAAGAAGCCTTTAACCAAATGCCATTCATTTTAATAACACCCTGAGCAGTTTGATTTTCCTGTACCACACTGGTGATTAGCGAGCGGGGCGAGCTTGAGTTCCCTAGCAACCGGATGAGCTTTTGAGACAGCCCTGAGCCTTTCCGTTAATCCCCTCAACCCCTTCCTTCGAAATGGATGGCTGACAGGAAAATGTTGCAGAAAGTGCTTCTGGAGACTTCCAGGAGGGACATGGAAAGGAATAATAATGATAATTAATAATGATGATGATAATAATAATAACTCCTGAAAATTGTAGGCAGGTGAAAAGAGAAACGTTCCTAGGTGCCCACCTTGTCTCTACAGTTCACTGCTCTCAAGTCTAGGTTTCCGATTCCCCTGGGGGAAAAGGGCAATGGAGCTGAAATTGTCGGGAGTTTAAGGTGGTCTCCTCTTGGAACATGGGGCAGTATTGTTTTGTCTCTCAGAAGGATCCCTCTGAAGGGAGGGTGAACCCTGGAACAGGTGGCCGTTTGTGTAGTGGCAGGCTGACTGATGGCTTGGGCAGGGCAAAATATACCACATTTTCTTTCTCCTTTAAGCCCTATGAATTACCTTGGTCGAAGGTGCTTGGGGTTGTGGGGGGGCAGAATGAAGCTTTTTCCTATTGATTGTTTAATTGCACCAGAGGCTGCTTGTCCAAGGCTCTGGCCAAGAGCGTCCCCCCACCCCACCCCCGTGTGTTCAGTGAGGCTCGACCATTTTCCCACCCTTTCCCCTAGATTTGAAGAAGACAACCCAGAAAGTCCAGAAAGGCTAGAGGAACCTGGGGTGTGTTGGCCTTTTGCTATTCAAGGGTGTCCTGCAGCGCCAGGGCTGCTGGGATGAAGTCCCTACAACCCTGAATCATTGCCTCTAGCTGAGTCCTGAGTTCGGGATCTACAACTCCACCCACCGTGTGACCTGGGGCGACTGTCGGGCATTAGTCAAATAATTACTCTTACTGCTACTGGCTGGCCATCTTTTCTATGGCTTGGGTCTCTGTTAGCTGGGCATTTGACTCCTTGGGGCCCGATGGCTCCTAGTGCTACCGCCATCCCACCTAACCCCCCTGCGCGCTCCCTTCCCCAGGCGACCACCTGCGCCGCCCAACTTACCCTCTGCCCCGCAGGGAGGGCCCCTGGGGGTAGCAGAGCCCTCCCCTCTCCCGGGCGGCTCAGGGGGAGCTCGGTGTTTGCCTCCAGCCCTTTGCTACCGAGGATCAGGTTCCTCCCCTCCTCCCCCTCCAGCTCCGGCCGCCGCCGCCGCCGCCTCCTTCTTGCATGACACAGCACAACCGCAGCTGCCGCAGCAAGTCCAAACCATCCGCCCAGGAAGCGCCGCAACCAGGGCTCGGGAGGGGCGGAGGGGGCAAGGCAGGGGTCTTGTCCGGGGGTAGTCTTGGCCCCACTTTGCACCACACACTCCCTCCTTGCCCAGGGCAAGCCAACAAAATGAGATTCAAGCTGACCAGGCCGAGCCGTGGAGGAATGCTGGGGCTTGCCCGCAGAAGGGATGGGGCCAGAGAGGCGTGGGTAAAAGCAGACCCCAAGAAAGGGCAGGACATTTCAGGTGAAGAAAGGTAAGCCGAGTCCGTGAAGTCAAGGGCCAGGCTGTGGAGATTAAAGGAGGTCAAAGAGAGGTAAGGAGGTAGAGTTGCTGAGAAGAGAACCAGCTGCTGCTGGTGGGGGCGGGGGTGGGGGGGTAAGAATTTGGGAAGGCCTGACCTGGGCACATAAGCAAAGGGCCGGAATTGGGAGAGTCAGGGGAAATATGGGTAAAGGATGAAACGTGAGGTTGGAAGGCCAAAAGGATGGAGGTTAATAGAATTCGAAAGGATGTAAGTGCGATCGTTTTTCATAGCTGATGAGGTAGGAAGACATACACCCAAGGCCAGGCCAGAAGGCCCTCACCCATCCCACTCTTCAGGTTACTGAGTTGTTTTTTTTTTTTCTTTTCCCCAGTTTCGCCCATCTAGTTTTCCTTGTAAGAAATGGGAAAGAAGATGGGCCAACAGAGAAATAGCCGTTTATTTTAGATTTATAGGATAATATTTCCATTATCCATAAAAAGTTTGAGACAGAGAATTGCAATTCAAAGTAGAATCCCCCTCCCCAGACTGCAAGTCAGTAAGACTAAGTTCTTCAAACTGTTACTTCCCATACATCATTGGACTCAAATAAGCCTTTAAAGGCTAATGTTGAAGTTAAATGCTAGCAGTGGGGACAGAATCAGTGGTTTCTAATACATGAAAAGGCACATGCTTGCTTTCTATCCACACACATGCATATATGTATACATAATTTCTAGTGTGTAACATGTACAGTATGATTAAGGGATAAGCATGTTTTCCTGATCATCTTATTTCCAACCAAACACGCATTTTATAGCAGTCATCTTGTCACCATTTGAAAGAATGTGGTCAGAAAAGTAGAACCCAAACTGCCACTTTGGTTTTGTCTGTACCTTACAGGTCATAGCTTCATACCTCACTTCCTGACACAAACAAGTTTTTACTGTTGTCAGCAACAAAGCCCTAATATAGCTGCGGAAGAGAAAAACTGCGTTGCATTTTGCCTCTTGAGAGCACCATCAACAGTTACCGGAGGAATGTAATTCCAGAAAGCTCTGAAACTGGTGGTGATGGGAATTATGGACCAAATGCCTGGTTCTATTTGTTGTTATTCTTTGGGCATTTCTGTTCTACCAGCGATCTGCGAGTGAGCTCACTGAGGGGGCAAATCTGGTTTTTCTTTGTGACTTTGTAAAATTTAATCAGGCCTGAGAGGAAACTCACAGCTTTCGGGAGAAAATAAAGTAGGAACCACGAAATGTCATTTAACAGAGCGTGGGTTTGGTGACTGCAGGAAAGGATTTAAGGACGCTCCTGTTCCGTTTGCTGTGTAATGAGCACGGGCTCCACGCACGCACCGACGCCACAGCTCCCGGATGCAGTGGCTCCCTTATCTGGGCTTCTGCAGCGCCACAAGCCCCTTCGGGATGCTGCGAGGGGCTCCTGGTGGGTGGTGGTACAAACGCTGCGGCCGCTGCTGCCGCCGCCGCCGGTCCTGCTGCTGTTGTTGCTGCTGCAGTCACGTGGGAGCCCCTTTAAGTTTCCATAGAGAGGCCTCTCCGGTGTCACATGATGGACATGATATAATGAAACAACATTGTGGAGAGGAAAGCATTAGGGGAGCCCACGGCTACAAAAACAAGTGAGTGAGAAGAGGTGGGAGAAAAAGAAACTACGCCACCTTCCCTGCAGCCGAGCGCACGCAGCAGCCTGGCGTGACAAGTGGGCGACGCCGGGGGCAGGGAGTGGGGGGGTCCTCGGCCCGCCCCGGGGACCCTGTTGTCCACCGTGCGCAGAACAACTTTTAACCGGCAGCCCCGCACCTGTCTCTGAGTCCCCATCGCTCCCCGCGACCATCCTGGGAAAATTCTAGAAGAATACGCTCTCGGAATCTACGTGCGCATCATTTTCCTCCTCGCTCCGGAGGAAGGAGCCAGAAAGGAAAGCAGAACTGCGTAATGTTCAGACCACCGGTAAGTTCTGTAGGGTGGGGGAAACGGGCCCAATAGGACTTGGGGACGGGTATTTGGTGCTCAACTCCCACCCTGGGGGTGAAAAAGGTGTCCCCGCACTCCCTGTGAGGCAGATGGGTTGGCGCGTCATCCGAGCTATTTTCCCGGTGGACTCTGCTGACGTCCACCCTCGCACTCCCCCGGGGCCCCTTGACGCCCCCCGCAAAGGGCTTGCGGCTGCCGATCAGGATGCTCGGCGGGCTAGAGAAGGAAGGTAGGGTTGCTGCGTGAGACGGGCATGTCGGAGCTATTTCGCCATGTTTGTGTTGCTAAGAGCACTTTTTTCCCCTTTGCGGTGGCTTGATGCCACATGGCTCCTCCGGAGCTGCTGCCGGGTTGAGAGCGAGTGTTTTTTTTTTTTTTTTCTTCTTCAATGTCCGCATTCCAGCTAATGTTGCGCAGATAAAATTCAAACTTGAGGTAAACAGACGACGAGGAGGAGGAGGGGAGGGACCGGCGAGGGGGGGGAGGACTGTTTCCATTTCGAGATTCCACCTCTTCACTCAGCGGAGACCAACATCCCGAACCTGGAGGCAACTCACGCATGGCTCCCACGCCCCCCACCTCTGCTGTCAACAAGAAGTAAGAGCCGGGGGCGTGCGATTGGGAGGGATGCGACGTCTTGGTTCTCAGGGGGAAGAGGCAGCCCCTAAAGCGGCGCTTTGACCGGCTATTATTTTGGCGGAGGGAAGCTGGATACGTTCTTTTGCTCTGGAGATGAGTAGGGAGGCAAGGGGTGCATATTCCCCCCCCCTTCTTGTGACTATCCATGATCGTGTCGCCTCCACCTCGGCCCCCCCCCAGCATAGGTTCCCCCCCCCCCAGGCTGGATGAGTGGGACTTCGGGTTTCCAGAAGACAGGTTATCTAGCAGGTGTGTGGGGTGGGCATTTGGATTTGATAAGTCGCTTGGATTTGGTAGGAGACCATGGAGAGGCAAAGCAACTGCGTAGGTAGAGCTGAGTCTAATACTTATGTTGGGGGGGGGACACGAGCTTAAAATCAATAGAGAAAATCAAGACGTTCCCCCCCATATGTCTGTTTGAGCTCGCAGCAAGGCTGCTGCGTGAGTGGCGAGGACGAGGGCGAGCTTCGTCATGTGGCACCCTGTAGGCTTCTGACAGCTTGGAGCCATCTACCCCCTCCCGCGCGCGCCCGGGGCGGAAGGTGTGGGTTGGGTGGTCCGAGGAGGGTGACGTCCGAGGCGGGGTGGGGACAGGCTCCGGAGCGCCTGGGTCCGCTCGGAACGGCGTGTCAGGGAGGAGGCGGCCACGTGAGGGGGGTCCGCAGCAGCGCGCGAGCTGGAGGCTGGGGGCGAAGTGCGTAGCAGAAGTCGTGACGGGGGTGACACGCAGCCGCCGAGGCCGCTCACCGCCCACGCAGGCCCCCGCCGCGGGTGGGTGCGCACTCACGCGCCCGCTCCCGGGAGACCGTTTCCGGCGCAGGACCCGAGCCTGGCGGTAAACAGGGTGGCGCCCTCTGCCCTCCCGCCCCCGGCCTGGCGGAGGCGCGCGGTCGTGGCGGACGAGCGGCGGCGGTGGCGAGCGCGCGCGCCCGCGCGCTCGCCCCCGCCCGTCCCGCCTCCTCTGTTTTTGTTTTGATGGAGCCCGCGTGCAGCTGGCGCGTGTCGAGTCACGTGCCGCGGCCGCGAGGGGGCTGGGCGCTGGCGGCCCGGACGCGGGGGAGGGCGCAGGAAGGGTCGCAGCCCCCTGGCCTGTCCGAGAACTCCGCCGAGGTACGGTCTTGCCGGGCTGGTCGCAGTTATTTCTCCCCGGAGCAGCGGGATTTGGGTTCGTCGTCACAGCATCCCTGCCAGTCAGCTGTCCCCGGGGCTGGAGGATCAGCTGAGGGAGTCGAACGGACCTCACAGCTGTGTTATCACTGGACACGGAAGTCTCTCCATCTGGCTCTTCATCCAGGCTGCACGGTATAATCAACCGGAAACCTTTAAAATTATTCCCAGTACCCACTCTTCCTAGCGAGGGACCTGAAATCCGAATAGAGTTAGGAGCGAGGGCCATTTTCTTCACCTCCTCCTTCTCCAGGAGCTGTGACGCAGTAGGAATGAAATTGATAGGTAGCCAGCCTGATAGACTAGATAGTTGTTGAATCATCCATATTTACGCACCTAAGAGTGAAAGATAGCCCCAATAGTTAACATGTCTATCTATCACTAAATGGGGCCTCTATGTGCCAGACAGGATGACTGCGCAAACATGGCCGTAACCTGGAGGAGTAACAGTTTTACATTTGGGGAAGTGGAAGCCCAGGAGCTTCTGGCAGAGGTGGTGGTGTGAGGACTCCTGACTGGTATCCAGGGGGGCAGATCCCAGAACACATACTTGGAACCATGACTTGGGGCTGCTTGACCTTTGTGAACAGCCTGAGAGCAGTGCGGGCTGAACCGAGGGCCGGAGTTTGTGTACGCGGATTTCTTCTGTGGAAGCCTTTATATGACAGGTCCCCTTGTTTGAAAGGGAGGAGAACCTTTTGGTAAATTCGTTAAGGCCTTCATGCTACCTAGTCAGTTCACTGTGGAGGAAGGGGGGGGCTCTTAGCAATAGACGTTAACAGGTGGATCCCTGCAATTGTTTTCGTGTTTGTTGTTGTTGAACATATGTGTAAGCTGCAGAAGAGTCCAGAAGATGCATCTGTGTTCCACGCATGGTCATGAATAAGGATGCCGTGGTGGTCATGGTTTGGATGTGACCAAAAGTGCCCCTCTGGGGTACAGTGTCTGTGAAGTTCTGCCATGAAATGTTTTGGAGGAAGCGCATACTTTCTGGGGTATAGAGCCTTGCTTTTTTTTTTTTTTTATCGAAGTCTCCTTGGTTTGTTTGTTCCTCGTTTGTATAAATTTGATGGGAACATTGAGATGATGTGGGGGTTCCGGTACGTGTTGGGAAAATAGGCTTTGCTGATATCTAAGCAGATAACAGCTCAGTAAACCGAAATGTCTCCCTAAACGCGGAGTTCTGATTCTGATACTCTGGTGACTCATTTGCATTGTCATCGTTGTCTCCCGTGTCTTAAAGATTGTCACCGAAATGGTGTACGTGGGTAAGTATATCAGAGATCAGGGTATCAAGGTGAATGTTGACATTCTTCCCAGTTTGGTGAGCCGAGCTTGAGGACCCACCCAGGCCAACGCGACATAACCGGCTGGTTTGGGATAAGTAGTTTCTGGTTGTGTTCCTTCTCTGTATGCAGTGCCACCGCCATGAATGACACTTTCCCCAGCCTTGTCAGACCACGCTGGCATAGTGGTTCTCAACCCTTTAATGCAGTTCCTCAGGTGTGGTCACCCCCATCATAAAATTACTTTTGTTGCTACTTCATAACCGTAATTTTGCTACCGTTATGAATCATAATGTAAATATTTGTGTTTTCTGATCCCTTAGGCAACCCCTGTGAAAGTGTTGGTTGAGAACCGCTGGTTTAGGGTGTCTTTGTGTAGCTCTGTTAAGAGGGCTTGTTTGTTTCTTGGTTACCTCCTTCAGGAAGTTCCCGTTGTCTTTTCAAGAACCTTTTCTTAAAAGTGGGTTGATTTATTTACGTATTTGGGTGTTTCATCTGCATGTACATCTGCACACCAGAAGAGGGCATCGGTTCCCAGACGATAGTAAAAGACAGTTGTGAGCCACAGTACTGGTGCTGAAAATGGAACTCGGGGCCTCTGGAAAGCAGCCAGTGCTCCTAACTGCTGAGCCATCTCCAGACCCCAACTTTTTTTTTTTTTTTTTTTTAATAAATGTGATATGTTCCAGCGAGTGCACATCCTCGGCTCATTCTGTCAGACGGGGCTCATCCTTTGTCACGTGCTGGATGAGAACATGGTTCTCTTCAAAGTTACCGAATGAGTTTTTAAAAATCAGTGTGTCCGTGGCACATATTAACAATAACTTCTTTTGCATTGGGTGCCATTAAATTCTCATATTTGCATCGCCTCCCTCCCTCCCTTTCATCCTGAAGCATCCTTACCACCTTTGCTGTGAGCTGTCAGAAGAACAGCATACACTCTTGTGAAAAACAACAATACAGTGTCACTAACACGTTCCGTAAATGGACTAGAGAAGACGATAGTGACATAAAGTGATTTTCACTTGTTTTCCAGTTTTGCTGTTTTTTTTCTTTTTTCTTTTTTTTGTCCTTTGAACAGTGGTTTTTCTTATACTTACTGGGAGAGCAGCTTGCTGCCATTGCCACTTTCCCTTCTTTGGGGAGAAAAACGGCACCCATTACCAATGGATACGCTTTCTGTGCTGTGGTAGGACATAGATGCTTCTTCAGATCTCATTATACTGTCATTTTCAGATTTAGTATACAGAGATGTGTGTGAGCCCCTCCGCCCTGCACGGCTTTCGGAGATGACGAAGCAGTTTCCAAAGCTGCGATCTCTAGCCTGTTACCTGATTGAGGCCCTCAAGTGACTTACATCCTCAATGTGGCTTGTGTGACGCAGGAACTGAACTTCGAGTTGATCCAAATGTAGATAGCCACTAGTGGCAACAGTACGGGACAGCGTGGAGGCTTTGCTTCCCTTGGAGTCTGACATTTAGGCGAAGGTAGTGTGCCTTTAAAAGAAAATTCTAGGGCATTGGCACTCATTCCTAGATTATAGGTAGTTGCTGGTGATGTTTTATCTGACCCGGGTGAGGCCCTCATCTGTAGAACATCTGTATTGTTACATAAGCTGTCCTACTTCATGTGGTCTCCCCCTTCCAGAAGCAGAGAGGACAAGTTGGGGATAGCTATAGTGACAAGTAATTATTTACAAACAGATGGGAGTGATTGGTGCATGAACCAAATGAACGCCTCACAAGTTGAATCCATTTATTTTTTATTTTAAATGTGTTGGAAGGGCTGGGCATGATTTGTCTTGCTGACGGTTTCGTCTCCAGCGCTTATCACTGTGCTTGACATTAGGAGCACTCAAATATTTGTTGAGTAAGTCAGTAGTCA